CCTGACCGCGCGCGCCCCGTGCGCCGCCAGACGCGCCCAAGGACCTGATCGGCCGGCTGCTGACAGTGGACCCGGCGCGGCGCATCACCGTGCGCGAGGCGCTGGCGCACCCCTTCTTCCACCGAGTCACGGTGCGTGCGCAGGCGCGGGGCCGGCGGCATGGCCGTGCCGCGCCCGGCCGCTGGTCAGCCACGCTTGCGGCGGCGGGTGCCGGTGCCGGTGGCGGGGACGGATGTGTGCGGTGGGCGCGGCAGGGCAACGGGGTCTCGTGAGAGCCGGGTTAGCGCGGCTGATCTGGACGAGGGGGCGTCAGGGTGCGTTTGGTGTCAGGCCGCACGCGCGCTCGTGCGCCTGGGGCCCCGGTTGAAGTGTTCGGGCTTTCGGGTGCTTTAACTGCGCGGCCGTATAGCGCGGCCAGTTGTCATATCAGTTGCCCACTGCCCTTTGCACTGCTTTTGGAATGTATTTTGCACCGGCCCGGCGCTGACGACCGGCCAGATGGTACGACGCTAATTACATAATTGGCTTCTGTAAGCGATCCAAGCATACCGGAAGCAACCTCAGTGATGGTATAAGGGGCGGTGGTGAGGCTATGGCACATCTGTTTGTTTGTATGGGCTTTTGCTTTTTGGTGGCCGTAGCTGCTGGTTCGGGAAAAAATGTTTCTGCCATGAAATCACTCAAGCCGCACCGTAACATTCTTCTGCCTTCTACAGGAAACATAATTATTGCAACGGAGGGGATTAGTTCGTCGCGTTTGGGCGCGGTTGGGAAGGGGAAGAGGGAGAGCATGATTTGTCTCATTCTTAGTACCACTGGGTGGCATATTTTGTCCAAACCATAACCCGCTTTTTCGTGGTAGAATCGATACGTTACAACTAGCATTGCTTGCGCGAAGTGCCTCAGCGCATTGGCGGCTGTCCGTGGTAGTTAGTCTGTCGTCAGAACGTCAGCGTCTTGCGTTTTTTGTAGCCTCTGTACTCTGAGGAATCGCGTAGATTTGCTGTGACGCAGTCGCAACTGCTCCACTCCACGTGGCGTACTTCACGCCTAGCACACATAACACCGGATCCTCGCCCCCATGGCCGGCCTGTACGCAGGTGGGGTTGTATTTTTCCCGGTGCTGATGACAAAATTTACGTAGTTTGGATGATATAGATATGTCCCGAAAATGGCTGTTATACTGGGGGCGGAATCAAATTAAACGGCACAAGCTCTCACTATAAGTTCGGTGTTCGTAACATCTTGACCACATGCCGGTGACGCGTCCGGCTCCAGACGTTGGTACGCCACGGGCGACAGTGCACGCAGTGTTGGCCGTGTCCTCGGCTCTTCAATGTGGAGACGGGACCCGAACTGCTCTGTACATGCGGCCCTGGACGGCACCCCTGCAGCCCCTCAGTCACCGACGGGCACTGGCCGGCCGGGCCTAACACAGTAAAGCCTGACCTCTCCCTCGTCCCGGTTGTGGGTCTGTGCGAGAAGGCGTCCGCTTGTCGCTCTTTTGTCGCATGCCTGGCCTGGCCAGCCGCGGCCGCCTGGGCCGGCTCGCCGCCGCGGCGTGCCGGCGGCGCGGCCTGTCTGTCTCGGTCCGGCCCGCCCGCCGGCCGCGTGACCGCCGCCGGCTGATCGGTGTGCGTGTGTCTGTGCATGACAGGACTTCCCGTCCTGCGTGATCGTGCCACCGGAGGCTGTGAAGGAGCTGCCGCCCCGCCAGGTGAGAGGCCACCGCTGGCCTGGCCACTCAGCCAATTCAGGTGGCACGCACGCCCGGGCGACCCCGCACCGGCCCGAGTCAGAGCACGCCGCCAGGCGGGGAGGGGGAGGGGGCCTGTCACCCGACCCAGGGCTCTCGGTGTTCCCTCAGCGACACCTGACGGCCACGCTGGTGGTGATCTGCGATCCAACCAGGGGTCGCTTCCGTGAGCCGACCCTGTTGCCGAAGGGTGAGTGTTCGCGTAGATCCGATCAGTGTCTCTGAGAGGCGCCTAAGAGGGCGCCGCGAGGCTGGGGTGACCGATGGACTGACACAGGGCCGGTCCCCGCGTGATCACGGCCCTGTCCTGCCGACGCGCCGGTGAGTGATGAAACTGCGACCCTAGCCCCCTGGTCGTCAGTCCCATCCCCTGTCCTGCCGACCGCGCCGGTGAGTGATGAACTGCGACCCGAGCCCCCTGGGTCGTCAGCCTGCCCCTGTCCTGCCGACGCGCCGGTGAGTGATGAACTGCGACCCGAGCCCCCTGGTCGTCAGTCCTGCCCATATCCTGCTGACGCGCCGGTGAGTGATGACCTCCGATCCGAGTCAGTCCTGCCCCTGTCCTGCCGACGCGCCGGTGAGTGATGACCTGCGACCCGAGCCCCCTGGTCGTCAGTCCCGCCCCTGTCATGCTGACGCGCCGGTGAGTGATGACCTCCGACCCGAGCCCCCTGGTCGTCAGTCCCGCCCCTGTCCTGCCGACGCGCCGGTGAGTGATGACCTGCGACCCGAGCCCCTGGTCGTCAGTCCCGACCCTGTCCTGCATTAGCGTGGTAGCGCGTCCTGCTCCACTGCAGAAGACGTTTTCGCTGCCTCCCCACCTAACCGTTTCGAGACGGTTTCCACAGTACCATGCTGCACAATCGCGCGGTGTCGGTAGCGTAGCTTTTTGTGGCCTTGTTTGTGACTGGCGCAGGAGTCGACCCGCTAGTCAAAGGCTTCTGACCGCTTGAGGCTGCGCGCTATCTGCCAGCCTCCGCCGTGCTGAGCTTCGTCCCGGCCGTTCGCACCAGGGCGTCGTCCGGGTCCTTCGCACCGGTGCAGTGCCGTATCGATTGTTCGTCCAGCTGTGCTGTAGACGTTGGATTCTTTGTTTCGCCCCGCGATCACGGCATCGGAGAACTCGACGAGCACATGCCAGGTGCGGCGGGATTTCCTGGAAACGCCTGCATGACACCAACAAGCCAATGTTATGATTGTCGCATCGACGGCACTGTGGCGGCGGCTCGTGTTGAGGCATGAGGCGGCCGATGTCGTGCCCGGCACGCCTCTGTGACGGCGCCCTCCGCCACCGTCGCCGCCAGGCCCGCGAGCGTCCGTTCTCCGGCCGGCGCACGTTCCGGCTGGCCATCAACTGCGTGCGCGCCGCCGTGCGCATCCAGCGGCTCAAGTTCACGCCCGAGGCACTGTCCGTGTCGGTGGCCGTGCTCGACCCGTACCGGCTCAAGTCGCTCAGGAAGGTGAGCCGAGGCGGCCGGCCGACGGTCCGCGCCCGCCCGCGCCCGCGTGCGCGTCACACAGGCCGCGGCGACTGACTGCGTCCGCACAAGGACGGCGGATTTATTCCGGAAGTAGCTGAAAGCGTGTTGTGGATGTTCGATGATGTACAGCTGTTGGTAATGCGATCGGAGTGCTGCTAGTGACTCGCTGAACTGATCATAGAGCTGTTGCCTACTTACCGTTAGGAGACTGGTAAAGGCCACAGAGGCAGTTTATAAAGCGTGGTATAGGCTTTACTCCCTGCTCGTTGTCTGTGACAGAGTGGTGATACTTGCGGGATGACACCCAGTCGAGGCCTTGGACGCCTGTGGGCGTCTGTTCCCATTCTATATCGTGAGCGGTGACGCCCGGTCTGTTTCAGATCATCGACGCGTGCGCGTTCCGCGTGTACGGGCACTGGGTGAAGAAGGCCGAGGGCCAGAACCGCGCCATGCTGTTCGAGAACATACCCAGGACGGACCTGCGTCGCACCGCCCTGGTCGCCGCCAGCTGAGGATGCGGTTGCTCGGGAGCGTCGGCGGCGTGTCCGCCCGGTGCGTCCCAGACGGCGGCCGGCGTGTCCGCCCGGTGCGTCCCGGACGGCGGCCGGCGTGTCCGCCCAGTGCGTCCCGGACGGTGGCCGGCGTATCCGCCCGGTGCGTCCCGGACGGCGGCCGGCGTGTCCGCCCGGTGTGCCCCGACAGCGAAATGTGCGTGCCCCAGAACAGCGGGCCCGGTGTGACCGGACAGCGGTCGGCGCAGCCGAGCCCGGTGTCCGGCGGGCCGCGTTACCGTGCCTTCCAGGTCGTATGATTAGAGCTTTCCCGGCGTGCCGCTGCCGCACGGAGCGCGTAGTCCTGACCGCGCACTCAGGATATGCATAGTGGGCGTTTTAGCAGTAGCGAGTAGCATGAGCGTGGACCGAGTGGGGAAAGGCGTGGCGTACTCCCGGCAAAGAATCGCAACGACCAGGGCTCTGTGGACGACGTGGATGTGGATGTTTCAGGGTCGTTACTAAGTAGAAAAAACCACATTCGGTCCCAACACATTGTCATGCGATTGTACACAGTGTATAAATGAAGCAACATTGCGCAAATGGTCCGTCACCTTGTGAAATAGTACTTTTGACGCCGGCCGGCGTCGTCCACAAGCGCTCCGCGGCGAGCGTGCCCGTCGCTGTGTGCCCAGCTCCCCGCCGGTCGGTGTCGTTATGTTGTCCCTGTCGCGGCCCGTTCGCCGGCGCGGTGACGTTATCATGTGACGGCGATTGAGGGCAGACTACAGCCTCTCACGGCAGGCGTAGGCGGCCCGGCGGTCTTTGCCCTTCGCTTGTGCATCCGGGAGCACGGACGGCGCGAGGACGGATCATGTGGCGGTGATTTGGGGAGGCCCTCCCCTCCCCGCCTCCAGCGGGTACGGAAGCGGCCCGGCGGCTCGGCGCCTCAAACCGTTGTTAGGAGTGCGGGCCGTCGACCCGAGGACGGGCCGGATTGACGAGAACGAGTGCAGTGCGTCTCCGATTCGACGCGGGATTGTTTACGCTTGGAGAGCCTCTCGTACGCGGGTACAATGCGTGTCCTTGCCCACCCTGGCATTTTACTCGACATGTCACTGCAAGGCTGTCGACCTAACTCGCGATCTGTACGTTGTGCATCTAATTGAATACACGAAGGGAATTCGAATCGGTGTTTGGTTCTTACTTGCCTTCAGCATAGTGGATCGGCTGGACAGTGGTTGTCGGCATTGGGAGCCAGCTGCCGAAACAGGAGGCGAGCAGTCTCAAGACAGCCTGCCGTTTGTAATGTTCCGCCGCACGGTGTGGGTCTCAAGTCACTGTAGCGCCCGGCCGTCGAGATCTGGGCGCGGTTCCGACTCGCGTTATGAGCACATTCCGCGGTTAGTAACGCATTGCCTTTCCCACGGCACTCAAGCGCGCGCTGCATTAACAGGCACGTGCCTGGCAGGAGTCTCAGTGAAATACGTTTCACTTATCAGTGCACATATTTGCAACCAAAAACCTGCCGTGCGTGGCAGTGCGACGTCGCGTTTCGCGCATATCTTTGACGCATTGTTACGGTCCTCATTTTATTTGGACCTTACTTGGTGTTAAACGCAGCGTAGGCACTGGGAAATCCAGCATATTTTTCGACAAAAGGTTCTCTGCCCTCCTCCGTCATTCGTGAGCTGTCTGGAACGCCTCCTTCAATCATTCAGCCGTAGTTCGGATTGGCATAGGCAGTAAGACGACTGCATTCCTGTACTGTATAGCGCGAAACACCACGTCTGGATTACTTTGTTCGCACCTGCAATGTTGTAGGGCAGCCTAATGCCTTGTAAACGAGTGCTTTCCAACCTGCACAGCACGGCTCTTGGAAGAGTCGCATGCCTCATTCCTGAAACCTGCGCAAAGTCGCTATCAGCATTCCAAATATCACCTACGTGGGATTACGGCCACGCCGGGCCCCAAAAAATTGAAAAACATTTCCCATGCCGGAACAGCTACACGGGTACCGCCGACTGGTTCACTAACAGACCGGCGTGACCATATATGGCCGAGTTCAGCGCCGGTCGTCGGTGATTGGTCGGCGACCCGGTCAACGATCGCCCACAGACATCGTTGGCCGCGCACCGACTCAGCGGCGATCGGGCGTCACTTCGGCCCCGCTCACAAATGGGCACCACTAAACAGACATCCACGCTTTTTACCGGCGAGAAGATCGGAGCCATACATTCGCTATTCTCACCGGTAAGAGGATCGGAGCAGACACTCACGATTCTCACCGGTAAGAAGATCGGAGCCAGACATTCACGATTATCACCGGCCAGAACATCGGAGCCAGACATCCACGATTCTTACCGGCCAGAACATCGCAACCAGACATCCAGCAAGAAGATCGGAGCCAGAATATGACATTCAGAGCAGCCGGTGAGATCGCGCCCACTTCGTGCTTCGTGAAATCAGAACGCGTGTAACACTGCGTTCTGCGCCCACTTCGTGCCTCGTCGACTCAGAACACGTGTCACATTGTGTCCCGCGCCCACTTCGTGCCCGGTGGACTCAGAACGCGTGCAACGCTGTGATCGCAACACGTAATTGGAATCCATAGCAGTCTGTCAAACGCTCAGGATATAGTTGTAAAGAAGTCTTAGAATCTACTTGGACGATATATTGGCGACGCATCAATCAAAATAAACAGTTGCTTTGTGTTAACGTACCCAACGTGAGACACGTGAGTAAAAACTGCTCGAGGTATTGTGAAAAAATACGCCGTAGTTTACTTTGTTCAGTCTCGAGCTGCAGCTCGCGCCTCGCCGGTACACCAAGTGCCGCGGACATTGAGCAATGCTTTTCGCACAGAACAACAGCAAGGTTGGCTGGCACACGGGAGTACACATTAGCAACAAATATGCGCACGCACAAGCGGCACAGAAACAAACAAACGGCGAACTGGGAAACGGGACATGGCGCGAAACTCAGTACTGGCGAGTTTTACTAGACGGTAATCGGATGCTAGGATGTTGTACCATACGCTCTGTTCGGAGGGTAGTCACTGTATCTTGAGTCCGAGTGCTTGTATAATGAAGCAGTAGATGTCAGTTGATTCATCGATCTGGAAAGCCGTCACACAACTGCCTTAACCCCGTCGCCAGCAAAGACAGACGGGTACGTACCATATAAGGACACGGTGTCGCATCGCCCCTGATGGAGCCCTAGCAAGCTTAGTTAGCGACCGCGGCTTTGCTAACGAAGATCGTGGGGTTCAATCGCATTGTTGCCAAACACTTTCAAAGCTTTCATACATACGTGACTACCGGCTAAACGTCCCCAGCTCCCTTCCAGGACCGGCCATCACCTAACCAAGGCCGGGGAAGAAACTGGCCGACACATTGTGTGAACAAAAACACCACTAGCAAGAACAAAGCCCGTAATAATCATTAGTCCATTCTTTGGCGACTACAGACCCTACAAGCCCCCCGAGGCGTTGATATCAGCTGGGAGTCGAGGCGGGCTCTTCCACGCGGAAGCTGGCGCCGTTAAATTCTGGCGCATTTCGGCCCCGACCACCCGGTTTCCTGCCCAGTGATGAAAAGAGCGTTCATGGGGAGGAGACCCACGCCCGCAACGGACACCCGCGCAGGGGTGTGACGCTCTGGTTTCCCTCAATTGCTACTGCTTTCTAGCGAGTCCCTCTGGGAATCAAACCTCACCTTGAGGTGAGAAGAGGGGAGGGGGAGGACAATACCTACGACCTTGACACACCGCGCACGCGGCCCACGCTTCCCGCCCGACGAGCCGGTCGGGAGCGTGGCCGAGCTCCGCCCGCCGCCCGCCGGGCCGGCCCGCACCCCAGCTCCTAGACTCACCTGCTTGGCAGTGGGCTTGCCGACGCGTGGCCAGCCTTGGTGTCCACCCTGATGAGCAGCGGGTTGGTCTGCGCGGCGCGGCCGCTCAGCACGTGCTGCAGCTCGGCTATGTACTTGAGCGAATGCAGTGGCACCACGCGCGGTCGTCGTGGTCGGCCGTCAGCAGAAGCGTGGAGGGGTACTGCCGGCGCCGGGCCACGCCCTCAGCAACGGCCAGACGGGCACTCCCCCGCACGCGACCCCAATGCCATCAAGACGCGGGGCAGGGGGAGACACTACAGATGTGGGTGTTGAGTTACCGACGGTTGCATGGCAATGGCAGCACTGATGTACACGCCACAGGCAGTCACTCGGTGCGATGACTGCTGGTGCGGGTCCATATCGTCGCCAGCATCCACCCGGAGTAGACGAGCCCACTGCTAGACGACACGGGCTTTTGACGGCCGCGGACACCATCTGACTGGCGAGCGGACAGGAGTCCAAAGTCCTGACGATGATGCTTGGACGCTTGCACACAAACCAACGAGCCCCCACCCTTCAGCCGGCATCGGTCGCTCCGGTGCCCCGGCCCGGTCGGCCGTCACGCCCAGCGGCCACCTGTTCGTCGTCGCCCTTCGGCGGTTTCGGATGTTGTGCAGCGGCGAGAGTACTTGATGATGATTGCTCGAAGTGCTCCTTCTCGTCAGGGTTGCCGAAGTCGGACACCCAGGCGTAGCCGATGGTGAACTTGTGGAAGCGCAGCATGTCCATCACGCTGCGGGCGACGTGGAGTCAGCCACCCATACCGTGCGGCCCCCGTCACGCGCCAGATCGCTGGTCACGACACCGCTAATACCAGCTCGCCTGGCAACAAAACACGAGCAAGCGCCGCACCCGTACCGCACAGCTCCCGACCCGGAGCCGCAGCACCGACCGTCTGACGCTGACCAGCGCGTGAGCACGCCGCGCGAGCGCGCCACGGCAGCTGACAGCCCGACACCGAAGCTCTGCCGAACTTCGCTCCTTCGTTTCACTGTCACCCTCACCACCGCGGCATGCGCCCCGAGCGCGAGCGCGTCCCGGTGGCGGGTCCGCCGGGGCGCGCCGGCGCTTCCACCCACCCGACGTGGGCGATGGCCGCGCCGAACAGGTCCGGCCGCTGGTTGACGGTGGCGCCGACCAGCAGGCCCCCGTTCGAGCCGCCCTCGCAGCTGATGAGGCGCGCCTGCGTGTACCGCTCGGCGATCAGGTACTCGGCCGCGCACGCGAAGTCGTCGAAGCAGTTCTGCTTGTTGAAGAGCCGGCCGGCGTTGTGCCACCGCTCGCCGTACTCGCTGCCGGCGGCGGGAGCGCGGCGTCAGTGGCGGCGGCGCCGTGTCGCGCTGGTCGGGTCAGCTAGCGGGTCTAGCAGGTGGTCACGACGCCTTAATCCATGTCACGACAATGCCGCCACGGCAGGTTGCTACAAGCTTTAATTGTTAGTAGGTGGTCATTGCGAGGCAACATTTACCACAACATTTGCAACCGACCGCAAGTCTGCGGTTTGCAGGGGGCGACGTCCATCAAAAACGGGCAGAGCATGTCAACTGGGAACGGCAAGCATTCCACTACCGGCTATCAAACGGGCCACACAGGTCCGCGGGTTATGTAACGTGGAAGCCCATGCCTCGGCAGGGAAGGACGGCGGGTGAGTGGCCACCGCCGACACGCGGCAATACGAGCCGAACGCGGACCGTGTCGCGCGTCGGTACCGGTCGCCGCCGGATCACGTCACTGACCCGCCGCCGCGGATGTTTGGCAGCGCGAACACGCCGTCCAGGTGCTGCACGAACACCAGCTTGGACACGCTGAAGGTGGGCGTGATGCTGATGTTGAAGCCGCCGTAAGCGTACAGCAGGCACGGCGCCGAGCCGTCCCGCACCAGACCCTGCAGCAGCGGAGGCGGCGGCGGTCAGCTGAGCTCGACCGTCGGGCGGCAGCGCCGGAGCGGGCGGCGCGCGCCTCCGGTCCCCCGCTGCGACACGAGGTCCAGACAGACCGCAGACACGGGGCCGGCGCCGGAGCGGGCGGCGCGCGCCTCCTGTCCCCGGCCGCGACATGAGGCCCAGACAGGCGCAGACGTGGAGCCGGCACCCACCGCGGCGATGGGGCTTTACCGCTAGGGCGATGGAGCTTTACCGCGTCAGCTGTG